GCCCAGTGCTAACACATATAATGCCCTGGGAACTCCAAACATGCTAATATAATTTGGGTGTTAGTTGATTTAACTCTTCAGCCAATTTTCAGCCTCATTGATTCACTTTTACATAGCAATTACCTAATGCCTCAGCATTAACTAATGACTAATTTAAAAKCCGAGGGCAGTATATTCTGTAACGAGACTACAACCAGCTCCAGATTCAAATTTGTCAGCAGGCCAGCTCTCAATGTCAAGGGAACACAACCCCATCCTCCTCCTCTAAAAGCTAGGACCAGGCACCTGGGAGTGACCATYTCTGTGTTCTGCCAAGGCACCAACAGACACCCACTTCAGTGAATCTCTATTCAAAATAAATGCAACCCTAGCTGGTTCACTGCAATGCATTCAACAGAAACAGCTTCGCTTTCAGGCTGCACAATGTCTTAGCTCTTTAAAAAAAAAAAGAAGAAAAAGTCCTCAAGTGACTTCCCCCAGAATCAAAAAAAGCACATTTAACTTTTTTGAAAAACTTTTCTAGTCTTTAAGATTAACCATTTTTCTGAACAGCAAAACTGCACTGCACTGATGTGGTTCTGGATTTGCCATATTTAAAACAGAGTCATCACTTTCAGGAATGCTTTGAAATTAGTGAATGATAAGAAAGTTTCTTAGCCTTCTTAGCAGTAATCCAGATCACTTTCAGGGATAAATTACTTTTTCCTGACTTTCTAGCTTATCCATTTGGGAACCACATTATGGCCTTATCAAGATACCTGTCCTATTATTCCTGAACTAAATGAGTTCCACAAAATCCTTTCAAAGCACCAGCTAACCAGATTGACAAAATACTGCTTTATCCATCTAGATCAAGGTGGATTAATGATTAATTGAATGCTTGCAAATAATCTTCCAAAGCTGTTTTTTGTTCACTGTTTCCTGTATGCAAGAAAGACGTTTGATGAGTACAATAGCCCTTCATGTCAGCATGAAGCAACAGCAGCTTCCATTTGTTTASATTCTTGCAACTGCTTTGCAGAAGAAACAACACAGGCACTGTCAGAATATTTAATTTCTGGSTGATACCAAGGCCCACTGTTAATTCTGAATTACACCACCATGGATACACACGTTGCAGGATCAATGGACAAGGGTAGATTATTGCAGAGCATAGTTTCAAACCACAATCAACAAGATTCAAGAAACTCATCTTTCAAACTGCAACTTGGCTCCCTGGGCTTCTTCAGAATTTTTATTTCTGCATATACAACCAGGTTCATGCTCTCCTAATAAAATGGCACTTAGCCATAGTGATTTGAACAGCACAATGTGCAGAGAAAATATTTATGCAATATTGCTCAGTTATGATATGCATTCAGATGCTATAGCCTTGCCACGTGAAGGAATATCTAAATAGTCTATAAATCAAATGAGGTAGGAAAACCTTCACAACAGAACATTATTATAACATGTCTTCAGAAACCAGAGGTTTTTGTCCAGYGGCTTCTGATTGCCGATTTGGTCCAAATTTACTGTCATCAGAACTGCTACCTACTTTATATCATATCTTTCAAATAACAGTATCATATCTTTCAAGTAACAGGTAGCAAAAAAGGTCAKGCTTATATTCTTTTCCTCCAGAAATCTATTTTCCCAGCTGTCTTAATCATAGCACATGATCCACAATGAGTTAGTTTGACAATATGTTRACATATGTATTGATGTATGTTGCTGCTGTTTCATTCCAACAATTAGCATAGCACTGAGATGTAGATGGTGTAAATAACCACAGGTAAACACACTTCATTAAATTAATAATGAATATTACTTCTCTAGTAAATAAGTTTAAGTTTTATTAACTGAGCAGTTAATAAAGCACTCTAATCATTAAGGTGGACCTTCATAAGTGACCCAGAACTACTTTTGTCTATTTTGGTCAGTTRGGTTAATTTCAATTAATATACTTCATTAACTCAGCAGCCGAACAGGAACAGCCTAAGGGAGCTACTGCCTTAGTACAAATCAGGAGAACAACTTTCAAATGAGGTCACGTAAGTTTTCTTATTTTAGTTTACCACCAGTCTCAAGTCCTTATCTACACAGCCTCCAGCATCCTCATGGTCAACACATTTATAACATATCACTAATCTCTGCATGCTGACTTCAGATACGATAGACAAATAAGCAAATTGGTAATGGCACGATAAGGGTTTTGTCAGATAGACCACATATATTTGAAATATTTGCTGCTTCTTTCCCTTCTGGCTAAGTTTTAGAATAGCTGGGGCCTATRCTAGGTTTGGGTTCCCTTTAGTACCTAGCACAGTCAACTTCCAATAGCAGCAGTGTCTGCAGGTGCTGGAACAGCATTCCATGACATGAGGAATAAAATGTTAATGCCACTGCTGTAGTGAGAATTTCTTATCAAATACAGTGATCRATGTTTAATGAACTGACCTCATTAACTTGCATCTGTTGAGAGTCTGACACTGTACAGGTACTTAGGAAACAAACAAGTCCTGCATAATAACATTTAAAACAAATAACTGATAAACACATGTATTTCCTCAGATTTTCTTCTCATACAAAGTCTACAGAAAAAGAGTAACATCTCTTGTTTACTATTCAAAAATATCAGGTGAAGGTTAAACAGATTGTATCTATATGGAGACTGCTGCTTGAAGGTCAGCTTCCAAAACTTAACCAAGGTAGTTTTGTTGTGAATTGTTGTATTACCTGGCACCCCAGTTCTTTTTGATTCCTCAAGTAGATGAGCATGCTGGCATCTAGCGAACAGATTTAAGTCTTAGTGACTCTTGAATCACTAAAGTGATTGTARAAAAGCAAACAAAAATCGGCAGAACACTGAGAGCAAAGATGGAAGGATTCGTTTCTACAAGATGTTTATCTGATTCATAATTCTTGTAGGGAACTGAGAAGTGAGCCCAGAACGCTGAGTAGAAAAGACCAACAGGGAAACTTKGTCTTTTCTATGTCTACCCTAAAACCAAAGTCACCAAGGAATGTGAAGCTCTCCATTTTGAAGAGGGCAAAGCTGAGAGGGGTCCCCTAGGACTAGGGGTAAAGGTTGCTAACACAGAAGAATTTGTTTCCTTGCAGAGAACTTTGAGTAACATAAAACTGTCCTAAAGCAATGGAGAAAAAGCACATGAGTACTGGAAAGGACTACATTCCTTTTCATTACCTCAGTAAAGGCTATTGAATTTGGTACTATGGCCTTGCTGCTGACGGCTCTGTAGTGGGTTCTACTGCAGTGGCAGCACATGCTGTGTTTCTCTTAAGGATTTTTTTTCTTTGTTTTCCTTTAACTGCAGCCAGTTGCTAACTGGCACATTCACTGGCATAGAACTTTCCTTAGGCTACAGAYAGGGCCAACCTCAAGGTAAACAGATTTTAGCTGATCACCCAGGTGCACTCCCCAGCCTTCCTCAAGCCAAGTGGTTCCACACCAGCTCTAGATATTTGGAGGTGTAGGTGGAAACAAGGTAGGCAGCCTGATCCCAGCTCTGCTTCTCTGATCTTTACGAGGGGGTGAAGCTAACAGTGGGATGTTGACATACCAGCAAGCACGGGAATGCACGGACTTCAGTGCCTGCAAATGAAGTTACAGAGCACCAAGGCCCATAGGAGCAAGAGAGACTCCTGCTCAAAGCTGCAGGGGCTGCTTCATATTCAGAGAGGTTCTGCCCAAAGTGTTGGGGCATGCGCTGCTGGAATCTCAGCCTGCAGCTGCTCAGGGAACTTGCCCAAGTTTCATCCACATCAACTTGCATCAGGAATAAAAGATKTGGGAAGAAAACTGCTATACAATAAAAAGCGCAATAGGAAAGGCAAAAAAAAAAAAAAGGTTTTTTTTTGGTGTTTTTACATCTGTTAGGTAGATCCCAGAGCAGATTTCAAAATAAAACACCTCTGAAAAATTTCAATGTATGCCCCATATCTTCCTAGAAGAACTTTTGACAGTATTCAGGACATGTATGAATCATTTCTCTGCATTTCAGGGACTTACTCAGGGGATTTCAACATTTAATCTGGACAAGCAGTGGATTAACTGCTTTCATCTGGTTGTCCACCAGCTGACAACCTTTCCCTGCACACACGGCATTTGATGTCTGCCATTTTAATATTTAGACATTTTTGTGAGAGACGTTGTCCTGAAAGGTCACCACTTGTCTGAGCAGTTGGCGGGCTGCCATTCAGCCCGGGGAAGCTTAGCTCCGCCAGCTGTCACCAAAAATGACCATTTTAGCTGAGGAACAGGGAGGCTACGAATTTCAGTTTGCGTATGAGGAAGCAATGGAGACAAGAGGAAGAAAAGCTCTGAAACCACCTTTCAGATGTTGCAATCAAAATACCCATTTCTATATAAACATCTGCAAGATGAGAATAATGTTTTACAAAAGCAGCTTCTAAACAGCCGATTGAACAAATATGCCAGTGTTAAAACTGTGGTATCGAGGGGGTTATACCACAAGTATGTCAACAACAGAATTTGCAGCAAAAAATAAAAATACTATATAAACAATCTCTTCCAAATCAGTTCATGACATTCACTTGTTAACTCTGATAACTGTATTTTCCCACGGCTCAAAAATCTTTCCCCAAGAAACAACAAATCCTGTACAGCAAGCAAGCAGTGTGACACAAACTCAAGCAAGCTGCCTGCAGCCCACATTTCTTGTGCATTACCCGCCATTGGCGCTGGGTACTGATTACAGGCTGTTAGCAAAAAGCAGATTTCATTCACCACTTACAAGAGCTCACCATAAACTCAGTAAGAAAGTGATACTACAGAAGCTTTGAACTAGAAAGGCTCCAAAAAAACAGCGCCAAAGCTCTGTTTCTATAGTGCTGCGACACCAGCAAATACCAACGCTGCAATACAGAGAAACCTGCAGCTTTTGGCTGCCTCCCGACCCCCACGTTCTGCCGCCCTCGTGCCGCAGAGCGGCACCTTCCCGCTCTCCCGCTCCGTCCATAAGGCATGCGTTGCTCACCGTGCCACGGTCATGGCTCTCACGGGCTGAGACGCGGGCTTACCGGGCTCCCTGACGACCACAGTTTGCTTGCACTTCCAAATACAAGCTGGGATCGAGTTTCTGAATTAGAAGTCCAGTTCTGCATTTATGGATTTTTCAGGAATAGATTCCAGGCGAAAAAAMCATGAAAACATGGCAGATTCCTCTCTTGCACGTTCACAAGCAGCCTATTAGTGCTGAAGCAGCTTTGTCACTGCATACCCTATMTTATCTATCCTAACCAGAAAACCATCTCTCTAGAAGCACTCCCTGCATTCGCTTGGCTTCTCCCCCTCACAGGCAAAGCAGCAAACAGGCATCCCAAAAAAGCAGCTAACACAACCACGAACTGTGCTGGAAAGCTTTCCTGCATCCCTTCCCCTCAGCAGCTTTTGCACCGAAAGGCAAAACAACACTGCAGAGGAGCATTTCCCGTCAGACCGTTTCCAGCTTTCATCTCTCTGCTTTCTCAACCAGAACACCACGGTAGAAACCTTAATTAGCAATCTGAAAGCAGCACCCAGGCAAGAAATACTTACATGTGCAAGTATATTTGCGATATTTGTTCGCTGATCCAGCGACTGGCGATCACAAAGGAGAGAAAGAGCTTTTTAGGCTGCCTTTCAAGCCTCGGAGCCGTGAAAAGCAGGCTGCTATCTGAAAGCTGCTCATTTTCTATATGCTGTGCCCTACTTGCTTCCCATGTGCATACAGCACAGCTGCCAGGTTTAATAACCATGTCAGCCTGCTTTCCCCATAGCGCGGCAGAGATGACAGGATGAAGACGAAGTAGCCAGCACATTAATCTGTAGTTATGGCTGCACTAAGCCTTGAATGAATATCACGGTTTTACTGCCCTTGAAGGGCAAAACAAAATAAATCTGCGCTGTTTGTCTGCTGAAGAAACTATGCAAAAGGATTCTAGAAATGCTAATCCTTACTTGCCCCAGTGACATTCAAATATATACAAAAAACCCTGCTCTTTTTTCCTCAGTTAAAAATCTTAAAACTCATGTTAATTTTTTAGCATTTCTGAGTATCCATTTTTCCTAGTAACATGTACTTGTACCCCAAAAGAGCAAAACCATTAAGTGACAARATAAGGGATGTAAGGGAACATTTTTCATTCCTGTCTTTGCTGATTTATCTCAAGAGGGACAGGAGATAAAAGGGGAAAATGATCTTTTACCACTTAAATTGTCCCAAGCACAGTTGTTCCTGGAGCACTGCTGTTCAATATTTGATGTGGTCAGTCTCACTGCCAAGGCAGAGTGTTTCCATGCCTCCCGCTGCCACACCAGCTCCATGGGAGGGAAGCAAGAGCAAAGTTTACACGACAGGAGAGYGGTGTCGGTCACGCAATCAAAAGCTACAAAACAAACCCAGAAACATGCGGTTTAATTCATAACAACGCAGAGACCCTAYGACATCTGTGCGCGTCTTTTCTCCCCCATCTCATTCATATTCCCTGCACTCCCCTTGGAGGCACCTGGCTCTGCAGGGAGTGGTTTCTGTGGAAACTCCGGACACTCCATTTTCCCCTCCAGAAATGGTTCCCATGGCAACCTTACATAACGTATATGGCCTAGATTCTTTTTAAAACTAACGTAGCACCGAAACTCTAATTAATAAATTGGAGCTGATCTGTCTCGAGGACAAGACATGCAGTTATTTTAAAACTGTATTAGAAATGCTGGGTAAAGCCCCCAAATGTTACTACCAATTAAATCACAGCTTAGGGGGCACTGTCGCTCCATCRCTCCGACAAAATAATTGGCAAATTCCAGCAAACTAAGCCTATTATGTGGAATTTGTGGGAAGTGGGGAGGAAGGGTGGCATTTAGTTGACATTACAGCTCAATGTAGCAATCAATACTGCATATTAAAGCGCAGAGCTTTTTTTTTTTCCTTTTTTTTTCATGTATTTATTCTCCCAGCAAAAGGAGCTTGCTTAATGGCAAAAGCTCAGAGGTAAAYACACTCAAAATTGAAATATCAGCTTCCAAGTCGCTCATTGGACATTAGGAAACTGCACAAAGTGGGAGCAGTGGCTGAAAGGAGGGGCGAGGCGGAGAGCGCAGCGGAGCAGGAAGCACCAGGGCCCCTTGCTGCCCACCGAGCAGCAAGAGCCCTGCCTGCATCCACGTGGGAGAGGGCACATCCACCACRTCCCGCTGGGACACGGGATGGGGGTTGTGCTCGTGTGGGGTTGTGCCTTGCAAACCTGCAGCTGCAGACCCGCCGCGCTGGCTCTGTGAAAGCGGCAGTCGCACAACAAATGGTCAGTGACCCTGGTGAAACGCACGGGCAGATGTCCCCCCTCCTGCCGCCAGCCCCTTACYGATGGCCTGGATCAGAAGCTGAAGTGTCTGGACGGCTGAGCTGCCCATTTACCTCCTGCAAAGATCAGCGATTCCTGTTTGAAGCATGTTGTTGGGAAACTTGAGTAAAATCCTGCTCTTCTGGGGCAGCTGTGCTGTGACTCAGCAGATAAGGATCTCTCCTGATGCAGCAACCTAGCAAATCTCAGTAAAAGATACATAAGAATATGGAGTGTTGGACTTCTCTCCTCTCCTCCTCTACAGGAGAATTAAAAAAAAGAATCCTGCCTGCCAAGCATTTCCCTGGACCTTCAGCAAGGTCCTCAAACTCCCTTGCATGACCGAGCTCTCCAGGTGGGACAAGGCAATCGGGAAGCATGGCCTCAAGGCCTGGTAGCATCTGTGCTCCTTTCCTCTGCTGTGGAGACACTTTTACAAAGGAGACTTATGCTCCTTGAAGGCAAGGGGTTATTTGGGATGCTTCTTCTCAGAGCTGAAGCTCAAAGCCAAAGCAAGATTCCACAGGAAGCTGCTGGTGCCACAAACAACAGAGCTAGGGACATTCCACAAGGCAAAAATCCCCAAAGAGGGGGTTTCTGTATTGGAGAAAGCTTACATTTAAAAAGAAAAGCTTTACTGAAAAACTGAAAATATTTTCAAACTTTCCTTTTCTTTTTAGAGGCAAAAGATTTAGTAATTCACTGTGGTTGATACAACCATATCCAGCGCACAGAACACGAGAACTGAGGTTCAAAGACCAGAAGTCAGGCTTGATGGCTACCTAACATTTAACTTAAGGTTTACCAAACATCACACAAGGTTTCRGTTCTGTGAGGTGCATAGCATTGCCTCGGTGGTGGTCAACTTTCTCAGGTTCTGTTGGAATTAGTCATACACCAATCTCCTTTTTCTCAGTAAAGGAGAATGTTTGATGCTTTCACAACTTCTTGTGAAAAATAYTGTTTGTTTGCATAAGTAGACTTTATAGGTTACCTGAGGTATTTAGTGCAATGTATGGAGGGCTTTTCTTTTTAAAGTTAACCTTATACACACAGTTACATTACAGTTAGACAATGTCAAATGAAATAGGTGTTTGATGGCCAAGGAAAGTTACTATATTCCAATAAAACAAAAGATCCCTAAAAGATGAGAAAGAGCTAAACTGTCACTTGTAGAGTTCTAATAGTTTTGCCAAGTAAATCTTTGAACTTCAGAGAGTTCATGGCACAAAGACAGCAATAGAGACAAATTAAGAAATTATGATAACACAGTAAGGCAAAGAAATGAAGCCAACAACTCACTAAAAAAATTAGAAACAAAGATCCAGATGAGAAGATTCAGTTACTTCCTGTAGCTATGCCAGTTCTTCCAACATTGTTTAGCTCGAGCACAGCAAAAGCTGACATATCTGCATGGCTCTGGACCAAGCTCAGTAGTGTCTAGCCAGCTCAGCATGAATCCAACATGAACTTGCATCCATCTCCATTTACATCCAAAAATATATTCCAGTTTATAAGCATTTTCTGCTTTCTCAAGCATAGGATAGGCTGTTTGGGCACCATGCTCAGGAGAGAGCATCTCACTAGGCACTCGTGTACTTCCAATAAGTCAACCCAGGAATGAGCCCTGCAGTACCTAAATTCCTTCTCCCAAATTCTTGCTTTAGCTTCCCAAGCACTTCAAGCTACCCTAGACATTRTTCCTGATCACACACTAAGTGACCTGGCTGAGAGGCTGCTGAGAAGGAGGTTAGACTCATGAAATTCTACATTCTCAGCAGGCCTCGGTCGCACAGGGAGGCGGCTCTAACTCGTGAGCTCGCTCCCAGCTTCCTTCCAGCAGGGAGGTAACTCACTGCAGGAGCCCAAGCTTTCCCTGACAGCCCACGATCCGCAGTAATAGTTTCTAAGTGAATAGATGCAGAAAACCAGTAACTGGGGCACAGTGACCTGGACGTCACCCGGCACACATCACTGAGCACCACAGCAAGCCCACAGCCTTCCATAACTGCCAGTGGTTATCCAAAACCACRTCCATCCTTTGCTGCAGGGCTCATTATGTTTCCCACATCTTTTCCTAAGGCATTGCATCAAGCTTCTGAAAGCAGATATTAGCAACTAATATTATATACACCAGACTCAGGCATAGAGAACAGGATCAATATAATATTTGTATCATGTTACATTACTCATTTCAAAGAAATCTTTAGACTAAGCAGCATCTCTCTTACCTCCATGTGAGATTTTGTATAACACATGCTAGTTATACTTTCATGGTATTGAATGCTTGCCCGATTTCTATTGTTTTTAATGCCACAATATGTTTCCCCCCATGGCCCTACTATAAACAAAGTCCTTTCTATTTACTTGGATTGACGTAATTCAAACAGAAGAGGGGGAAATTTTAGCAGGAAACAAGTGAGAGACAGACTGACAAAGAGACAGAGGCAGGAGTGTCAGCTCCTAACCACAAGGTGCCTTGCTACCTGCAGATCTCCTGACAAGTTTGGCACTTAAGCCATCCACAGGAAGGACATCCAGAATCCAGCACATTAGCCCAGAGCTATCAAATTTAGCTGATGAGAAATGCTGAGAAAGATCTTAAACTCTCTTTACAAACTGGCTATTCTCATCTGGGCTGAAGAAAAATACCCAGCTCCAAGGGGGATTCATACATACCCATCATCTTCAGTCAGTTGCCTCCCAGCACCCTTCCTCACAAAAGCCAGGGAAGAGATGAGAGACAACCACAGAATTATCTAAAGAGATGAGAGAATGAGGCTCAGCTTCAACTAATAACAAGATGAAAGTTTAACCCACATTCCTTTATTTAACCATATATATTTTAGAGTATTTTAAAGAAAGAATTCTCCTGAAGCTCTCTCACCATTATCCAACAGTGAAGGGACCAATAAAGACCACTGTGTAGTATAGCCAGGCAGTTGGCTAGCACTAACCTGAGACATCTGCTCCCTGCTTCAGTTTTTGGCCATTCTTCAGGA